CTCTCGAAAAAAAAAAAAAAAAGTATTATTATAAGCTGAGATTAATAAATTAATACATTAAAGGCACTGCATTAAAACTCACACATACCTAAAAAAGCTCTATATACAAACAAAACTTGAAATATTCAGATAGTATATTAAAATGTTTAAATGCAGGAGTTTGAATCAGCTGAATGCTAGTATAACTTTTACATCCTTGAGCAAGCTAATAAACTTCTCTTTGCCTCGTTTTTTTTCCCCTATACTGAATGGAGATAGCAGTATCTATTTTATAGGGTGTTATATGGCTTAATAATATATGCGACACATACTTGGGATAATGCCTAGTACAAAGTAACTGTTCAATCACTATCAGTAACAAATTACTGATACATGCAACAACATAGGTGATTTCTTTTCTTTTGATTTTGCCAGAGGGCACATGCACTCACCATCGACAGAGAGCGAGAAAGAGAGAGGTAAAGTAAGAAATCACCCCTCCATGGGGGATGGTCACACTGCAATCCCTCCTCCTCCATCTCCTCTCAGGATTTTGAGCATGCACGCACACATGCTCAGTGTGTTTCTCAAACTGATGGGTACAGAACACAAACCGTCCAATCGGCCATATAAGAATCCAGTCACCTTAACCACCATGCCATCAGCTGGCCCTACATAAATGAATCTTTAAAGCATTATGCTAGATTGGGTCAGCCGGTGGCATGGTGGTCACAGTAGCTACATTCCATATGGCTGACTTCACAGTTTGAGTCCCAGACTCGATAGCTTGAAAAACATTCCAGACGTGTATGCTTATGTGCCTGAAATCCTGAGAAGAATGTAGAAGGGATTGGGACCAGCAGTTAGCATAATGGCTATGTCGCTGAACTCACATGTAGTCGACCGTAGTTTGAGTCCTGGACCCAGTGGCTTAAACTCACGCTGGGCATGTGTGTGTCCGTGCCCAAGATCCAGAGAGGAGAATGGAGGAGAAGGGACTATGGTGTGGCCATCTCCCCTGGGGGGGTGATTTCTCGCTTTCTGTCTCTCTGTCTCTTCTCTGTCTTCCTGGCAAGCGCACACGTCCTATAGCAAAAAACTCTTCACAAAAAAAAAAAAAAAAAAAAAAGAATGTAGAAGGGATTGTGGCATGGTCATTCTTCCTGGAGGGTAATTTTTTGCTTTCTCCCCCCAACTACAAGCACGCACACCCTATAACAAACTTAAAATAATAATAATTATAAAGTTAAAATTAAATAAAGCGGGAGCCAGTGGGTAGCATGGTGGTTAAGGTGCTGGACTCTCACATGGCCAACTGCGGTGTGAGTCCTGGATTTGGCAGCTTGCTTTCTCAATTTCCCTCTTTCTCTATTTCTCTCTAGTGAGTGTGCATGCCCTGTAGCAAATTAAAAAATGATAGTAACAATAAATAAAATTAAATAATTCTTTTAAAAAAATAAATAAAGCTTTGGCCAAAAAAAAATTAGTAAAAGCAAACATTGTGTTAAGACTCTGTTCAAAATACTTTATCTGAATTAACTCATTTAATCTTCATAACAACATTATAAGACAAACACTATTGCTATCTCATTTTCTAAGTAAGGAGAGTAAGGCACAAAGTAACTTGTCAAGGTTACATAGGTAATAGGTGGCTGGAGATATTGATCTTAGGCAGTATAGTTCTAACACCCCTATGCTAAACCACTTCTCTTACTCTGTCTGGTGTAATAATTATTTACATAGCATTTCATAAAGAATCCTGAATATCATCTGATGTCATTATGTAAACACATTAATATTTACCTCTTCGAAAATACCTTTGGAAAAATCCCCACAGCGTAACGTGCCATCATAGCTGAGTGACAGTAAATGGGCTGGATTTGCACGTGAGAAATAAAGACAGCTAACTGGCTGGCTATGTGGTTGAAAAACATAAATCCCATCTTCTTTAGGTTGCTGTGTCTGGAAGAAGGTTGGAGGTGTGAAGGAAGAGAAAAACACTAGTGAAAAGTGGTAATATTTGTTATTATGTCATTAAAGTATCTACATCTGAATTATTGTTTTTTCTTAGTCTGTAATTATACCCACCTACTCACTCGGAAAGTCAGAACCTGACATTTTATATTTTCTTTTCTTTTTTTTTTAAAGAGAGATTTTTGTTATACAGTATGTGCACGTGGATAGACAGAGCAACAGAAAGCGAAAATCCCTTCTCCTCTATTCTCCCCTCGGGATCTTGGGTGTACATGCACCCAAGTATAAGTTTTAAGCAACCGAGTCCAGGACTCGAACCACAGTCAACTACTTGGGAGTCTAGCGACATAACCATTATGCCATCTGCTGGTCCCCAATCCAACAATATTAAATCACAATAATTTTAAATGTCCAGCTTTTTGCAACTATAAAATTAGTTTCTCTGTAAATTACTTCTCATTATGATTTCAGTTCATGAAATCTATTCTATTTCACACATGGCAGAATTCCTTCCTACAAAAAAATTATCAGTACCATTACCACTTTGCTTCCTAACAGGATTCTACATAACATTATCGTGTTCAGCATAATTTTTAAGAAGTATTTGGTCCTGACCCAGAATGAATTTTAGAAGTTTATCCTCTAAACATAAAAATGCATGTATCTGAATTTCCATACTAATATTACTGCTTCTAAGATTAATCTTCCCACAACTAGATTAGTAACTCCTAAGAGGTCAGTTTTTCAAATCTGGATAAGTTATATTCCAGTGCAACTATCACCTCTAAGTATGGCTTAATATGCTCTGAGACAGTCAAGCATTTTTGTTTTTATCTTTATTATTTTAAATTTTAAACTGAAAGGCCAGCAGGTGGCAGAGGTGAAGGCATAGAATTTCCACATGGTTGACCATGGTTTGAGTCCCAGACCTGGAGGCTTGAAAAATCACACTGGATACATGGCATGCATGCCCAGAATCTCAAAAAGAGAATGGAGGACAAGGGATTGCAGGATGGTTATTGCCAAGGGTGGGATGGGGGAGGTGGTTTACAGGGATTTCTCACTTTTCCTTTCTGTCTCTCCCTGGCAAGTTCACATGCCCTATGGCGAAAATCTAAAAATAAATAAATAAAGACAAAATTATTAAATGACAAGTATTTTTTAAAGAGAAAGGAGAAGAGGGAAAAAAAATGAAAAGGAAAGAAAAGAAAAAAAAGATTACAATCTACACTCTTCCAGCTACCCGGCGTTAACCACTGTTGACATCTTGACGTATTGTTTACAGCATTTATTAGGAAAACAAAACTCTTCATTCCTATTAAAAACTCAAAGAGGGATCAGCAGGTAATGTAATGGTGACATCACTGGGCTCCCACACAGTCAACCAACTGCAGTTTGAATCACAGACCTGGCGACTTAAAAAATTCATGCCAGGCGCGTGTATATGTGTGCCCAAGAACCCAAGAGAAGAACGAAGGAGAAGGGATTATGGAATAGCCATCTCCTGTGGGCGGTGGGGGAGGGGAGTGACTTCTCACTCTCCATCTCTGTCTCTTGGCAAATACACAGGCCCTATAGCAAAAATTTATCTTAAAAAAAAAAATGTAAGAACTTCGTGTGATATTTTCACATATACATTTAAAGTTGTAATAAAGTTTCCTGGCAGTTAACTTATGTGCAGATGGCTAATGATATGCAACCTAAAAATGTTAAAGTTCTATAAAGAAAATTGAAACTTCTAAAATTTGGAATATTCTGGGAGGCTGAGACAGAAAGATCACAAGTACAAGGCTGGCCTAGGCAATATAGTGAGACCCTGTCTCTTAAGACAAAAAAAAAGTACAAATCTCAAGCAACTTTTATAAACAGATGGCTACAGGCTATTCTTTCCCAGACTATTTGTTTCAGTCACACTTTATTATCTTCAATAAATTAGTAATAACTTACCAAATCCCAAAGTCCAACTTGCCCAGATTTGGCCCCAGCTGCTACCAAAGTTCTAGTTTCTGATGGGTGAACAGCCATAGAGGATATTGAGCCTTTGGTAACTTTATGTACAGTATCTTCTGTAATGACCATGCTATTTAAATTGGTTTTGTAGCTAAGAAAATTAAAAAGTTCAATTTTAAAAGTAAAACCAATCTAAATAATTAAAGTAAGTAAAAGATGATTCAAAAAAGAAAAATCACAATCAGTAAATAAATGTGGGAAAATATTCAACCACCTGGTAACCAAAGAAATTAAATTAAACAATAGGGTGCTTGAGGCCAGAAGGTGGTGTGGTGGTTAAGGTGTTGGAATTCCACATGGACAACCACGGTTCAAGTCCCGAACCTGGTGGCTTGCTTTCTCACTTTCCTTCTCTCTCTCTCTGGTCAGATTAAAATAATAAGAAGAAATTAAATAATTCTCTTAAAAAAAGTACCTCCCCTTTTCTTAACTTTTGCTGTAGGGCAGGTACACTCACTAGAAAGAGAAAGAGAAAGTGAGAAAACACTCCCTTACCTCCAGAAAGGATAGCCATGCCGCAATCCTTTTCCACCGTTCTCCTATCAGGATTTTGAGTATGTGCATACCCACCATGGTTTTCAAGTCACTGACCTGGGACTAAACCCACACAGTTGGCCACATATGATACAGAGCCTTAACCACCACACTACTGGCTGGTCCCAAGAGGGTACTAGTTTTCTCTTACAAAATTATTCTTGCTGGGCTGGCCCCAGAGCACAGTGCTTAAGAAGAGGGAGCCATGGCCCACTGTAGTTCTAATCCCCACCCTGGCCACAATACACTGGGTATATAACCAGTTGTACTCAGGATCCTGATAGAATGAAAAATGACTGGGCCCCACTGGAGTCTCTCTCTGTCTCTCTAGTGTGTGCACAAACCTTCCAGAATTAAAAGGAAATTACCCTTGATAATTTTAATGATAATACCAAAACTAGCAGGCTACACAGTTAAACATGCATATTCACTAATACTGCTAGTGGCAGAATCAGTTCATGCAACATTTTCAGAAGGAGAAGGCCAGATGTGATGATGCTGACCCACATTGGAAGGTTCCAGGTTCATGTTCAGAGACCTCCCTGAGCACATCAGGTGCACGTATATCCAAGACCCAGTGTTGGCTAATGCTGGGGGCAGATAGCACCATGAAGACCCTACAGGAGATGCTTGTTCTCTCTCTCTCTCTCCCTCTTCTTGTCTCTTACTCATCAGAGAAAAAAAGTAAACTTCAAAAAAAAATTTTTTTTTCAGAAGGAAAAAAAGGATTTTTGAAAATCTATTTGGCAGTATGTACTAAAGCCCATAAAAATGTTCAAAACAAGCCTAGCCACAGTGGCACAGGTAACAGAGTGCTACTACATGACACTGGAACCACATGGGAAGGCCCAGGATTCAGACTCTGGGTTGACCTGAACACATTAGGTGCTCCTGGCAGACTGGAAAGCTAGGAGGAGGACCAAGAAATAGCAAGACCCTGTCAGGAGTCTCTCTTACTCTCCTGAACTAAAGAATTAAAAAAAATTTTTTTCAACAACATTTGACTCATTAATTCAACCTCTGGGAAGCATAGTTACACTGCCAAGTTTGAAATCATCAATGACCACAGAATTGGAAAAATTATTGTGAACCTCACTGGCAGACTAAATAAGTATAGAATGATCAGCCCCAGATTTGATGAGCAACTCAAAGATCTACAGAAATGGCAGAGTAATCTGCTCCCATCCCATCAGTTTGGTTTCATTGTACTGACAACCTCAGCTGACATCGTGGACCACAAAGAAGCAAGACAGAAACATATAAGAGGGAAAATTCTGGGATTCTTTTTCTAGGGATAAAATACACACATATAAATAAAATGCCTCAATGAACAAAAATATTTGTGTGTATACACACACACACACACACACACACACACACACACACAAACAAAAGGGTGGAAATAACTTCACTTCGATAACTTCCTATTATATAGTCCTTATAACTCAAACACAAAAAATCTAAAACAAAGGCAAATATTTTTAACTTACCTTTTAATGCCAGATAACCTCTTCTCAGTGTTCTTACTACTTGTCTAAAACATTGGGAGAGACCACAGTACTAAGTTAATATATGCACTGATATTTCCTTAAGAGATAATTCAAAAAGTAAGCTCTACCAAGTAATACCTTGCTCAGTCCTGCCCAAGTCTGCAGAAATCCTTTGAATAGTTCATTGTTATAATCTTGATTTTCAGGAGTCATTTCTAAAGGCCCAGGAGGTAACAAAGGCTGTTATGAAAAAAAAAAAAAAAAACATGTATTGATTATCTCCCTGTTCTAGAATGTAAACTTAAGGGAGGCAAGGGCATTGATGTTTTTTCACTACTTTACTTTCAAGCCCAACAACAAAGGTGGTACACAGCGGCATTCAAAATATGGTTCAATAGATGAATGTCAGGTTTCCTATAATTTGCTAACTAGAACTCTTCCCAGTCACTGAGAGTATAAAATTAAACTATAGCAAGGTACCCTCATCATTTTTAGCAAACATTTTTTATTATTAACAACATTAACAATTACCTTTTTTTACATAATTACTTTTTTTTTTTTTTCACATGAGTTTTGCCAGTGAAAGACAGAGAGAGGGAGAGAAAGAAAGCAAGCCGTCAGGCCTGGGGCCTGAACTATGGTCAGCCATGTGGAAATTCCAGCACCTTAACCATAGCTACCTTTTATTAATTACATTATAAGCCCTTAATATAATGTAAGGAACTCTATAATACTGTTTCATTTAATGCTCACAACAGCACTCTGAGGTTTCTTTTTTAAATGACAAAGTTGTATATATTAACTAATTTCTACTATGTTTGCCTTTTTAAAATGGGGAAACTGAGGCTCAGAGAGGTTTTTTTGGTTGTTGTTGTTGTTTTAGGTTTTTGCTATAGGGCACATGCACTCACTCACTAGAGAGAGAGGGAGAGAGGGAAAGTGAGAAATCACCCATGGGGATGTGGACAGTCACACCACAATCCCTTCCTCTTCTCCTCTCTGGATTTAGGGCATGGATGCACACACACCCAGTGATTTTCTTTTCCTTTTTTTTTTGAGAATTATTTAGTTTAGGGGCTGGCAGGTGGTGTGATGGTTAAGGCACTGGATTCCCACACTGCAGACCATAGTACAAGTCCCAGACCTGTTCGCTTTCTTTCTCACTCTCCCTCCCTCTCTGTCTCTCTCTGGTCAAACTGAGTAATAATAGAGAAATTAAATTAAATAAATAATTTTTAAAAAGAATTATTTAACTAATTATTATTATTATTACTATTATTTAATTCACCAGAAAGAAACAGAGAAAGGGAAAGTGACAAAGCAAGCCACCAGGCCTGGGAATCAAACCACAGTCTGCCATATGGAAGTCCAGCACCTTAACCACCAGGTCACCTGCTGGCCTCTGTGATTTTTTTCAAACCACCAGGTCCAAGACTCAAACTATGGTTGGCTGTGTGGGAATCCTTAACCACCGCACCACCTGCTGGCTCCAGCAAGATTAAATTTACCCACACTGGCAAAACAGATAAGTCCTGCAAAAATACAGAATCCAACTAAGTCTATTATTTTAAAGAATTATTTCCCTTACTTTATTTGTCATTATTGTTATTTTTAATTTGACCATAGCAAGACAGACAGAAAGAGAGAGAGAAAGCCAAAAAGCAAGTTGCCAGATCCAGGACTCGAACCACGGTCAATCATGTGGGAGTCCAACACCTTTAGCCACCATGCTACCTGCCAGTCCCCTAATAGAGTCTATTTTTTTAAAAAAGAATTATTTTATTTTTTAAAGAATTATTTATTTATTTAATTCCATTTGTTACTGTTTTTTGTTTTGTTTTGTTTTATTTGACCAGACAGAGAGAGAGAAAGGGAAAGCAAGAAAGCCGCCAGGTCCAGGACTCAAACCGTGGTTGGTCATGTGGGAATCCAGCAACTTTAGCCCGATGACACCTGCCAGTCCCTATCTTTTTAAGAGAGAGATTTTTGCTATAGGGCATGTGCACTCATTGGAGACACAGAGACAAAGTGAGAAATCATCCCCTGGAGGGATGGCCATGCTTCAATCACTTCTCCTCCATTCTCCTCTTGGGATTTTGGGCATGCACAAAAGTACCCACATGAGTTTTAAGCCACCAGGTCTGGGACTTGAACTGTAGTCAGCCAAGTGGGAGTCCAGTGCCACAACTGCTATGTTACCTGCTGGCCCCTATTATAATTTTTGTTTTAATTTGACCAGAGACAGAGAGAAAGTAAGAAAGCAAGCCACCAGACCTGGGACTTAAACCATGGTCAGCCATGTGAGGGCCCACCACCTTAACAACCATGCCACCTGCTGGCCCCCCTCAACCAAGTCTTTAAAATAATTTTTGTTTTATTTTATTCATTTAATTATTTATCTATTTATTATTATTCTTTCATTTGCTATTGGGCACATGCACTAACAAGAAAGAAACAGAGAATGAGCGAGAAAGGGAAAGAAAGAAAGCAAGCTGCCAGGTTCAGGACTTGAAACGCCGTCAACCAAGTCGAAGTCCAAGACTTTACCACTTAACTCTTAATTACTCTTAATTACTGAGGAATCTTACTCATTAAACCATACAACATTAAGTATCAAATTAATAAATTATGAATTAAACATAATTTAATGAACTTCTGAACTTCTAGTCTAATTCAATCACTTCAAACTTTTCAGTATTTTATTAATATATCATATTTACACTTTTTCTTACTGTTTCATCAGCTATTAATGTTGGCTGTGTTGAAGTTGCTGGTAATGAAACCCCTGAAGGATCTACTTTTAGTAAACGCATTGACCTTCTACATCCAATCTCATTTTCTCTTTTTTTAGGCTTCTTTCTAAAGGAGTAAGAAAAAATTTATGTTATACTCATAAAACAGTAAAATGTATTTACTAAGAATATTAAGGAGATAACAGCTAGGAATGTATCCCAAATATAATTTGCACATTGTGTAGATCTATGTGCATGGCCACACTAACTTTTGTAAAAACCTTGGGAAAAAAATCTAAGTCTACATGTTTATCATGGAGAGGTAAACATGTTAAATTAAGGTATATATATGTGTGTGTGTGGGTGTGTGTGGGTGTGTGTGTGTGTGTGTGCATATAGTCAGCCATGTGGGAGTCCAACACCTTAACCATCACATTACCTGCTGGCCCCTATACAAAAATTTTTAATTTGTTCATAGTAATTTCTTCATTTATATGTATTCTATGCTAAAATGCAGTAGAGAGAATTCAAGTTACCTTGGAGTTCAAATCCTGTAGCTACCATTTATAAGCAGTTTTTAACTTAGGCAAATTACTACTTTGAGTCTGTTTTCTAATTCAAAAAAAATGGACATATTACCTATCAACCTATAGTGGTTGTCAGAATTAAATGAGATAACATAGGACAAAACATTCCTAGGTCACTGGAGAATATTTCATAGATGTCCAATAAATGTTTAGTTCCTTTCCTTTAAACTAGGATTGAGAAAGAAAAAATGAAATGAGAAACAAAAATATAGCCAGAAAAATAAAGTAGAATTGTCTTTAAAAATAATAGTTTTTTGGGCCAGTTCCATAGCCTAGTGGTTAAGGGATTCAGATCCCACATGCCTGACCGTGATTCAAATCCCAGCCTCCATAGCTTGAAAAACACACTGGAGGGGACCAGCAGGTGGCGTGGTGTTTAGGTGCTGGACACTCCCACATGGCCGACCAGGGTTCGAGTCCTGAATCTGGTGGCTTGCTTTCTTTCTCACTTCCTCTCTCTCTCTCACTCTCACCCTCTGTCTCTCTCTGGTCAAGTTAAAAAATAAATGAATGAATAAATAAAAAATAAAATAAAATATTTTTTTAAAAAAGTCATGTGTGATCACCTAAAAAAATTAAATAAAAACAAAACAAAAAACAAAAAACACACTGGACATGCCTAATCTCAACAGGACAGAGAAATGGAAGAGAAGGGATTGTGGCACAATAATAACCCATTAAGCAGGTACTATCTCCCTCTCTCCAGCCCTCTGGCTCTGTCTGGCAAGTGTGCAGGTCCTCTGGCAATTAAAAAATAATCACAGTTTTACAGGCAAAAATAAGAATAAAATAATGGGAATAAAGATTTCCTTCCTAAAAAAAAAAAAAGATTTCCTTCCTGGGAACCAGCAGTTAGCATAATGGCTATGTCGCTGGACTCCCACGTAGTCGACCACGGTTCGCGTCCCGGACCCGGTGGCTTAAAACTCATGCCGGGCGCGTGTGCCTGCATGCACAAGATCCCATGCATGCCCAAGATCCCGAGAGGAGAATGGAGGAGAGGGGACTGAGGCGTGACCATCCCCCTGGGGGGTGATTTCTCGCTTTCTGTCTCTCTCTCTCTCTGTCTGGCAAGCGCACGCGCCCTATAGCAAAAACCTCTCCAAAAAAATAAATAAATAAAAATGTCCTTCCTGACCAGCAGGTGGCATGGTGGGTAAGGTGCTGGACACTCCCATGTGGCTGACTGTGGTTCAAGTCCTGGACCTGGTAGTTTGCTTTCTCACTTTCTCTCTGTTTCTCTCTGGTCAAATTAAAATAAATGAATGAATAAATGAAATGAAATAAACGATTATTATAAAAAAAAAAAAGATTTCCTTCCATTGGCAACAATAGTAAATATAAACAAAATATAGCTCTGGAAATTCTCTTCGCTCCACATTCCTTTGAAGAAGTTGGAAGCTGTAAACTATTAAAAGGTAGCATTCCCTCCGAGATCCCACAGGGAATAAAATTAAGTTTGTTATCTGTTGCTTAAACATACTATGCTAAACCTTTTTTTTTTCATTATAAAACATCTCAGTAGTATTGCTACATCATGGTCCAGACATTGTAAAACAAATCTTTTACCTCTTCAATTCAGGAGGCTGTCTCTTCTTTATCATTTCACGGAGCCTCGCAGCTGACTACAAAGTATAGAAAACATGTACATGTAAAACCGTTGTGACTACGTACTTAACTTTTAAAATATTACATATCTGCTACTATACCCACACTAAACCAAGGTCCATTCAGGAAATAAAGATCCTTAAGATAGAATACCTCGGGACCAGCAGTTAGTGTAATGGCTATGTCATTGGACTCCCATGTAGTCGACCACGGTTCAAGTCCCAGACCCAGCAGCTTAAACTCACATGGGGCGCATGTGCGTGCATGCCCAGAATCCCAAGAGGAGAATGGAGGAGAAGGGATTGCGGCGTGGTCATCCCCCCGGGGGGTGATTTCTCGCTTTCTATCTCTCTCTCTCTGTCTTTCTGGCAAGTGCATATGCCCCATAGCAAAAACCTCTCCGAAAAAAAAAAAGAGAATACCTCTTCTTGCTAGGAGACATGAAATAACTATAGCATCAGATACAGCTGGTAAAGCCCAGATGGTAGGGTGCTGCTGTGCAATGGCTGAGGCTCCATGTGAGGCCTGAGTTTGGTCCCTGGCCTAACCTAGACAAGCTGGGTACAGCAGAGCATACCTATGGTCCTACCTAACTGGGAAGCTAGGGTAGGAGGTTCTCAGTATAGCAAGACCCTTTCTGAAGTAACTATTTCTTTTCTTCCCACATTCTCTCTCATAAAGTAAAACTAATGATAAGGGCAAGTATGTAATACTGTCTAATGCACTGACATTCTGATACCACGAACCAACATGCTAATAAGTTTACATCATCAAATACAGTTTTTAATCAAATATACTATTACAAATTGAAAGGCTTAACATCTACTACTTGCAAACTTACTTTGATCTTTTCCAAAAGTTAGAATATAAATGAAATTATATTTTCTGTCATTCAAACCATTATTTGTCTTAATTTCTGAAAGATTTTTCATTTTTTAAAGAATTATTTCATTTAGGGACCAGCAGTTAGCATAGTGGCTATATGGCTGAACGTCCATGAAGTCGACCACGGTTCGAGTCCTGGACCCAGTGGCTTAAACTCACGCTGGGCATGTGTGCATGCATGCCCAAGATTCTGAGAGGAAAATGGAGGAAAAGGGATTGTGGCATGGCTATCCCCACTGGGAGGTGATTTCTTGCTTTCTGTCTCTGTCTTTCTGCTTTGGGGGAGGGACGCGTGCCACAACAAAAAAAAAAAAAAAAAAAAAAAAAAAAAAAAAAAAAACACCTCTCCAAAACAAACAAACAAAAAATTATTTAAAATTTTTTTGAGAGATTTTTGCTATAGGGCATGTGTGCCCTCCAGAGAGAATGAGAAACAGAAAGGGAGAAATCACTCCCTGGGGGGATGGCCACACTGTAATCTCTTCTCCTCCATTCTCCTCTCAAGATTTTGAGCACACACACACGTGCCTGCTATGAGTTTCAAGTTGCCAGGTCTGGGACTAGAACTACAGTCAACCACATAGGAGTCCAGCCCCTTAACCACCATGCCACTTGATGGCACCTATTTTTTTTTTTAAGAGGTTTTTGCTATAGGGCACATGCACTCGCCAGAGAGACAGACAGAAAGCCAGAAATCACCCCCTAGGGGGGATGGTCACGCAGCAATCCCTTCTCTTCCATTCTCCTCTTGGGAACTTGGGGGCACACACACGCCTGGTGTGAGTTTAAGCCACCGGGTCCAGGACTCAAACCGCGGTCAACTACATGGGAGTCCAGCAACATAGCCATTACACCAACTGCTGGTCCTGCCTATTATTATTATTTTTTTAATTTGCTATAGAGTAAGTGTGCTCACTTTGGAAAGAGAGAGAGAGGTCACCATGCCACCTGCTGGCCCAGAGTTTTGTTTTTTTTTGTTTTGTTTATTTTTTTGAGTTTTTTGCTATAGGGCGTGTATGCTCACCAGAAAGACAGAAAGCAAGAAATCACCCCTCAAGGGGATGGTCACGCCACAATCCCTTCTCCTCCATTCTCCTCTTGGGATCTTGCGCACACATGCACATGCGCCTGGCTTTAGTTTAAGCTACCGGGTCCAGGACTCGAATCTTGGTCAACTACGTGGGAGTCCAAGCCATTATGCCAACTGCTGGTCCCCGGTCCAGAGTTCAGATTGTTCATGACTCAAACAATTTAGTCCTTTCGATTAAGTCACCCGTCCTTCACTAAGACACAAAAACACACTAAATACTCAGAGATACAGTATTTAGAGAAATTATGCCATCTTTGAGGGGAGGAATCACGCTTTCCTAAATGGCTATTCCTTCACACACAGAAGTTATTTTCCCAAAGTGAGGACACCAATATAAATGATCATTTTAATCATAATTATAAAATAGTAGCTGACCATTTATCCTAAAAGCTTCTCATACAAAGCATATTCTCATCTATTTTTAAAGTTTAAAATTTTAAATTAAAAAAAAAAAAACTCATCCTCTTACTCCCCCACGACCTATCCTTTAATCCCTCCTTCCCATTCCCCTTTTGCCTTTAAAGCAAAAATTTTGAACATACCTTGATTCTTTAAATCCAAAACAAGCAATCATAAGACACCATTATTTTATATAGCATTGAAAGAGGAAGAAACACTGTCAGTTGGTTTTAAGATGCCAGAGTCAGCAGGTGGCACAATGGTTAGGGTGCTGGATTCCTACATGTCCAATCGTAGTTTAAGTGCTAGACCCAGTGGCTTAAAACTCACCGGGAGTGCATGCACACGTGTGCACATGTGCCCAAAATCCCAAGAGGAGAATGGAGAAGGGATTGTGGTGTGTTTGTTCCCCCGGGGAGTGATTTCTCACTATTCCCTCCCTCTGTCTCTATCTAGCGAGCACACATATTCTATGGTAAAAAACTAAAAGTTTTAAGATGCCAACATCAAAAATAACAAAATGTGAAAAATATGCTTTAGAATCAATGAAAATATGGTAATCTTTTTTCTTTTTTTGAAAGATTTTTGCCATAGGGCACATGCACTCACCAAGAGACAGAGAGAGAGAGAGAGAGAGAGAGACAGGGAAGGTGAGAAATCACCCCACTGGGAGGATGGCCATGCCACATTTCCTTCTCCTCTAAGGATTTTGGGTGCACACATGTCCAACATTTTTTTCAACCCACCAGGTCTGGGACCTGAACCATGGAGCTGGCTTTAAAACCATGGAGTAGTTTAGCTACCATGTCTCCTACTTGCCTTTTCTGCTTTTTTAAAAATTTTCAAGAAGGTATGCCCTCACCATAGATATATAAAGAGAGACAGAGAAGGAAACCAATGAAGTGCCTCCCCATGGTCATGCTGCAATCCCTTCTCCTCCATTTCCCTGCTTTCAGGATTTTGAGCATGTTTCTCAAGCTGCTGGGTTCAGCACTCAAACAGTGGATTCAGCCACATGGGATTCAATACCTTAACCTTCCAGCCACAGGCTGACCTAGTAACCTGTTTCTATTAAATATAATACCTGCTCCTGGAGGCCAGGTGGTAGCACAGTGGTAAAACAGAATGCTAGGGACCAGCAAGTAGCATGGTGATTAAGGTGCTGGACGTTTCCACATGGCCGACCATGGTTCAAGCCCCAGACATGGCAGCTTCCTTTATGACTTTTTCTTTCTCTTTTTTTCTTTCTGTGTATCTCTTTCTGGTCAAATTAAAAAATAAATCAAAGAGTAAATAAAATGAAATGAGTAATTCTTAAAAATAAATAAATAAATAAATAATGCTAGGGGCCAACAGGTGGCATGGTGGTTAAGGCCTTGGATTCCCACATGGTCTGCCACAGTTCAAGTCGCAGACCTAACAACTGGAAAATCACGCTGGGCACATGTGCACCCAGAGTCCCAACAGGAGACTAGAGAAGGGATTACAGTATGGCCATCCACCTTGAGGAGTGATTTCTCGCCTTCCCTTTCTCTTGTCTCTCTCTCTCTCATAAGCGCATGAATCCTATGGCAAAAACCTGAAAAAAAGACAAAAAACGATAATGCTAGGACCAAAGGTGGCATGGTGGTTACGGTACTGGATTCCCACATGACTAACCACAGTTCAAGTTCCAGACCTGGTGGCTTGAGAATCACACTGGGCACATTTGTGTGCATGCCCAAAATCTCAAGAGGAGAATGAAAAAGGACTGAGGTGTGGCCCTCCCCCATGTGGGGGTGGGGGGGCGACTTCTCACTTTCCCTTTATTTGTCTCTCTCTGGCCAGCACACATGCCCTATGGCAAAAATCACACACACAAAAAAATAAAATAAAGAAAAGGAACGGTATGCAAAACAGACCCACATGGGAAGATTGCTGGTTCACGTCCAAAGACCTCCCTGAGTACACAGAACACATATGTGCCCACGACTGAGGCTGACTGAAGCTAGGAGTAGATCACAATGTTGAGACCCTGGTGGGGGTAGTGTATCTCTCTTTCTCTCACACATGGAATAAAGAAACTTAAAAAAAAAAAAAAAACTAATTTTACCCTCCCTCATCTGACACTATGAAACCTAACACTATAAGCATTTTATTGATCTGCTGGAAGGAAAAATGGCACATTGGTTTAATAAGAGATTTTACACAAACCTCAGACAACTGAAGAGAAGCAAAAAAGTTTGCATTTTCTGATATGTTCCTCAGTCTCTTCCTTTCATATGGTGACAATCCTGGAAAATCATCCTGTAAAATTACACCAATAAGGTATTGTTACTTTACATAAACCTTAGCAAAAACATCTTACAAAACCAGGTGTTTGGGACCAGCAGTTAGCGTAACGGCTATGTCGCTGGACTCCCATGTGGTCGACCGCGGTTCGAGTCCTAGACCCGGTGGCTTAAACTCACGCTGAGCATGTGTGCGTGCATGCCCAAGATCCCGAGAGGAGAATGGAGAAGGGATTGCAGTGTGGCCACCCCCCTTGGGGGTGATTTCTCGCTTTCTATCTCTATGTCTGTCTCTTGTATTTCTGGTGAGCGAACGCGCCCTATCGCAAAAACCTCTCCAAAAAAAAAAGAAAAAAAACTAGCTGTTTCATACTCTGCATATATACTTTCCTTCAAATTATACCACCTTTATTCAGGTCAATCTCTTCCCAAATAGTACATATTCTTTGCTGACTATGATATTGAGTTAAAGTCTGAATTTGGGATAATCAAAAGTTAATTATATGGCTTGCTATTTAAGTAACAAGTGATCGAGATGCAAAAGATCGGACACCATGGTGAAAGTCAGGGGTAAGAGAGGCGACTAGGGAAAG